TGGGTTTTACAAGAAAATACAATTTCAGTCTTTCTACTTGTCATGTAATGTTTATTTCAATGTTACTTGCCCATTATTTGTAATTAATAGTGAAATGTACTAGGTATTTCTAAGTGAAAACTGTTTGTACACCATTTTTTCAGTGCCATGTTTGAGCTACAAAAATAGATTTCCTAGTTATGTAACAATAAACATATTATTAACTTAATGGCATAAGAATATAATACATGCTAAAAAGTACCAAAAAAGTAAAACATTTTTTTTTTTTTAGTATTTCAGTTATCAAGGCTAAATCAGTTAAAGATGACATTAGTTAAAAATAGATTCTTAAGCTACCAATTTTTCTTTTATTCCAAATGTTATATTTTTAGCATGGTAGTATCATAAAACTGAATAAATACTCTTGAAGTATGCAAATTCTGTAGTACATAAATATGGTAGGGCGTTACCATATCAAATAATGTGAAACTTGCAGTATCTGATACCATGGTACAGCCACTACTGACATATTTTACTGGTAGACAGGGAAACAGCTTTGAATGAAACGAATGAAAATGTCCTGTCATTTATAACAATGCAGGTAATTCATAACTGAAGTGAATGAGGGGACGTGACCCGATATGATCCCTCATTAAGATGCTTGCATCTGAATTCAGAAGGCTGTATGGGCTGTTGTGTCCCAGTGGACAGGTGCTCGGAGAGCGTGCTAATGAAACCCCTGAGAGTCCAGACGCTGCTCGACAGCTAACAGCACTTTAATATCAGATACGTTATGAATGCACAGCGATTTACAGGCCAGATTTTGAAGAATTCGAACTAATTGACTTTGTGGAACTGAAAAGGTGAAATATTGAAGGACAACCTAAAGAAGATTAATTGGGTTGATTCAGTCATGTTAAATAGCCTAATATTTCTGACTTGAATAAAACCAGTTAATTTAGATGTGACTATTTTTAGGTTAAAGGGTTAGTTCACCCAAAAATGAAAATTAGTCCATAAATTACTCACCCTCAAGTCATCCTAGGTGTATATGACTTTCTTCTTTCAGACGAATCCAGTCGGAGTTATATTAAGAATTGGCTTTGATCTTTCAAGCTCTATCATTGCAGTCAGCAGGTGTTGCATTGCTTCAGTCCAAAGGAAGTTAAATAAAAAGCGCCCATTCATAAAAAGGAGTGCCTCACACGGCTCTGGGGGGTGAACAAAGGCCTCCTGTAGCGAATCGATGCGTTTTTGTAAGAAATATTAATTGGGTTGATTCAGTCATGTTAAATAGCCTAATATTTCTGACTTGAATAAAACCAGTTAATTTAGATGTGACTATTTTTTGGTTAAAGGGTTAGTTCACCCAAAAATGAAAATTAGTCCATAAATTACTCACCCTCAAGTCATCCTAGGTGTATATGACTTTCTTCTTTCAGACGAATCCAGTCGGAGTTATATTAAGAATTGGCTTTGATCTTTCAAGCTCTATCATTGCAGTCAGCAGGTGTTGCATTGCTTCAGTCCAAAGGAAGTTAAATAAAAAGCGCCCATTCATAAAAAGGAGTGCCTCACACGGCTCTGGGGGGTGAACAAAGGCCTCCTGTAGCGAATCGATGCGTTTTTGTAAGAAAAATATCCATATTCAAAACGTAATAATCACTTTAATCTAGCTTGCGCTCACTGTTGTACACGGAAGCAGTTCCGGGAGGATGACGTATGAGGTCAGCGTTGCGCATGCGCCGGTGAGTCTCGTGAAAACCAACGTTTGTTAACAGGAGCAAAGGAAGCAAAGTTTCCTTACTTTAGCAAAGGAAAACCAGTCTCCTCTTGGCTTATATCGAAATCCTCTGACATTCTTCTTTACAAATCCTCGTTTTGTACTTCTAATAAGTGACTGGTGTTTTGTTTTGATCTCTCCGCTGCGTTTTCGCATTCGTCACTTCTGAGCGGCGCATGCGCAACGCTGAACTCATAAGTCATCCGCCCGGAACTGCTTCCGTTTACAACAGTGAGCGCAAGCTAGATTCAAGTGATTATTAAGTTTTGTATATGGATATTTTTCTGCGTCGCATCGATTCGCTACAGAAGGCCTTTGTTCACCCCCCGGAGCCGTGTGAGACACTTTTTTTTATGGATGGGCGATATTTATTTCACTTCTTTTGGACTGATGCATGCAACACCCGCTGAGTGCCATTAAACAGCTCAAAAGAACAAAGACAATTTTTTATAGTTTTTAATAACTCCGACTGGATTCGTCTGAAAGAAGAAAGTCATATACACCTAGGATGACTTGAGGGTGAGTAATTTATGGGCTAATTTTCATTTTTGGGTGAACTAACCCTTTAAGTGCACATGTCTGACAGACTAAAAATATGCAGTTCTTTACTGATAATCTTGGAGCTTGACAGACACATTCATTTTCATTTTATGGAAAAGAGTGGCCAGGATATTCTTCAAAAATGCATATTTTGTGCTCCACAAATGTAGGAAAATCATGTGGGTTTGAAACGCCATAAAATTAGGAACATGGTGACATAATTTTCATTTTAGGGTGAACTGTGCCTTTAAGACAGATAAACACTCTCCAGTGTTTCTGTTAAAGAGGCTGTGTTTTTATGGTAACATTAAACTGCTGTTTACACCAGGCCACAATTTTCCACCCATCCCACTTCTGACAATCCAAAAATACACAGCCGACTATTTACACAGAACAATCAGTCGCCGTCATTTTAAGCTCAAATTTCATTTGAAAGCTCAGTATCAACATCAGAATTCACACTGAATGAAAAATTAGCCTTTCGTTGCGGCATGCTATCGGATATGTTCAAACAGAAGTTAAATCACGACGCACATTGTATTTACTATGGACAAACCCATGTGTCTGGAGTGATGGATGAAATGCTCTCAGACAAACAAGCTACGAAACTAAAGCTGAGATATTTGTAACAATGAAATGCTGAATGAAACATAACTGAGTGGGATCATCAGGCCAGCCTTTATTACATGTCCAGTCCTTTTATGTGAAAATATAAGCATGCTGTACTGAATTATCATGTTTTTATTATTTGTCTTTTAATTTTAAACTAAAAATGATTTTAGGTTCTTTCTTTCCTTAATATTGTTTTCCATCCTTTTAGACTTCTGTAATATTTGATTAACTGAAGGCTGTAATTATGTTATAAACTCTCAAATGCATTGTAACATTTTTTTGTCTTTACTTTTTTATAGTCACGACTATGTATTACATTAGGAATCACATACTGTAACGGACATATTTTCAATTCAAAATGTGAACATCACTAGCAGGCGAGTAGTTTGCATCCTTGGAAATGACTGTCAGTCGGTAAAACGTTTGGCAGCTTTCATCTCACCTGGAGCTTTTCCAATAGGCTTTTGCTGGAATAATCTTCTCTGACTGACCGTGTCAAAAGTTTTGGTAAGTGACATTAAGAAGTGACATAATTTTGGTGGGAAAACAATAGCACAGACATAGTTCACCCAAAAATGAACATTTTCTGAAAATATACAAACCCTCAGGCCACTGAAGATGTATAAGTTTTTTTTTCTTCATCAGGTTTGGAGAACTGTAGCATTCTATCACTTGCTCAGCAGTGGATCCTCTGCAGTGAATGGGTGCCGTCAGAATGAGAGTCCAAACAGCTGATAAAAGCATCACAATAATCCACACCATTCCAGTCCAGTCCATCATTTAATGGCTTGTGAAGCCAAAAGCTGCGTGTTTGTAAGAAACAAATCCATCATTAAGACGTTTTTAACTTCAAACCCTTTTTTGAAGAGTTATTTACAAGTTGTTTACAAGCCAAAATATTTCAAAACAAGAATGTGGGTGGATTTTGATGTGAGAGGACAACAAGGGATGGACTTTTTCATAGAAGTAAGTGCTATTATGGATTATTATGGACCAGAGGTAAAGGTTTTTGAATTATTGCCATATTCTGATGGCACCCATTCACTGCAGAGGATCCATTGGTGAGCAACTAATGTAATGGTACATTTCTCCAAATCTGTTCCCATGAAGAAACAAAGCCATCTAGGCCTACATCTTGGAAATGTTCACCTTTTTTTTTTGGTTAACTATTTTCCTGTATGAGTGGAGTTGGTTAATTTAGTATTTTCCCCTCTAAAAACAAACAAACAAAACAACAACAACAGCAAAAGTCATTTGGAAAATACCAAAATATGGTATTTCTAAATAGTTATAATCAGTAAAGTTTAATTGTGTGAACTTGATCAGTGTGTATTTGTAAAAGTATGCAATATGCTCATATTTAAATATTTTCTTAAATGACAACATATTATTATTATTATTATTATTATAAAAAAAGGATCCTGCTTAACGCAAACAACTTGTCTTTGAGAACACCAAATATTTAATCCATACATCCATTATCACTCCATAATTCCCATGTATTTGTTTATTAACGGAAACTGTGGTGCAGACAGCATTTGAAAAAAAAGAGGTACATTGGACATCTTGTGAATATCTGAGCTCATTACTATTTTTAGTTTAAAATCAGGAAATGGATACATCTGCCATCTAGTGGCAGGACTGACGCACCTGCCCCAAAAACATGTCAACCAGACTCAAAAAATGTCTGTATGTCACTGCATTAAAGTGGTTGTCAACCTTTAGTAGAACATGTTCATAGTTAATGTGATTGAGGAGAACCTCATACGCCCATTGAAATCTAAATAATCTATGTGGCTATGAGAATATAGACACATATATTTGGTCTATTCTGGATTTTGTTATCTTATAATTGTGAAAAATAGTTAACGGATTATTTTATTTAATGAATACTAATTCATCTTTGAATAGTCATCTATTATCAATATGATTGTGTAGTTTGTTGCAAAGGACATTTTAGAACACTGGATACTTTAGGGCTTATGGTGGCAATTCTTTTTCTAAAATAGGATCAGGTACCAGAATTAGTATGTGATGGGACGCAAGAGGAGCATGTAACTCAGTCTCTAATGAGATTAAACAGGATTATGTCTCTGGACTCTCGATGCGTCTGCAGCAGGCTTGGTAGCAACAAGTTGGTCTGTGAACATGCCATCGTATAACCAAATGAAGAGAAACAAACCAACAAGTTAATTCCTAGCCACTGAAGTTCAGCAGGGATCTGTATTCGGCTATTGAAGCATTCAACACGGCATTGTCTCAAAGCCACAGCGAATGGCACTCTGGTGGTGAGTCTTAAATCCAAACCAATCAGAATTTAAAGACTTAATATACAGAACTGCATGGCCTGTTGTATTTCACCTATATATTGCAGGGAATAGAGCACCATGTGAAATCTTCATAAAATGGCTACTTATGTACTGTGGTCAGCAGTTGTCTGGACTCTCAAGGGCCTGTTGTGCACATGGAGGTTTTTCTGGGTAATTATGTCCTCTTCATGTTAATACATTCTATCAATAATTTCTAGTTTTACTGTATCGCTACACAAATCACTGATAAATCAAATCAAATGTTCTTTATTTATATTATAGGTCAGCCCATATTGTGCTCTAAAATCTGCACCATTAACACAGCATGCAGCTGACACTGACCATACATTACCATCCAAACTGTCCCCAGGTAAATCCGAACATCACAGAAAAAAAGTAATCGATCAATTATTATGCAAAGGAAGCAATGTTTGCTGATTGTCTTTCGATTGCAATATAAATGTAATGTTCATACCTGTCCAATAGATGGCAGGCTAGTTTTGTGAAATAAGAAATAGTCTGTCAATATCACATTGCTTAAATCTACAAAATAAGATAGAGCAAATAGAGCAAAACAGTTTATATATGAGTTTTTATCGATTTAAAGGGAAAATTTACCCCAAAATGGACAATCTGTCATTGGTTAGACACCCTCATGTCATACAAAACCTTTATGAATTTCTTTCTTCTGAGGAAAACAAGAGAATATATTATGGTTAAAGATATTATGTTTTTGTCAATACAGTGAAAGTAAATAGGGTTCCAAAGACCACTGGACTCCACTGAAAACATTCAGACATTTTTAATATCAACATTAGAAAAAAAGGGTTTCGAATGACATATAAGTGAGTAAATAGCGTCAGATTTTTCATTTTTGGGTGAACTGTCTTATTAAGTGTACTCCATTATCCATATCAAAACAGAATCAGCATTTGCCAAAGTATTAATACTAAAGGCTTTTATAAATCTGTAGCTGTCCAGGATGTCAAGCATCTGGCAAGGACAGATGTAAATGCAGACTCAGAGAAGAAGGTCAAACCAGAAAACTGTGTTCAGCCTGAACGCACAAGTGGCCTGTTCAAGAGACTGCTAAAGGCTGAGGGGGAGATTCAAGAACTGAAGATAGAGATTGAAAATCAGAGAGCAGCATGGGAGATGCGGTTTGTGGAGCTGCAAAAGAGACAACATAATCTAAGAGACCAGGTATGTGGGTCTAATAATATTTCAAAAATGAAACTCATTAATTCATTATAATGAACCTGTTACACTATTGCTTCTTCTGGACACTTGTTTAATTTCTGAATGAATCAGCATTTTTGAACAATTGGTTGAGTGAATGATTCAGTGACTTCATCATAAAAACAGTCACTTGTTTCATTTCTGAATAAATTAGCGTTTTTGAACAAATCAGCTGAGTGAATGATTCAGTGACTCTATCATAAAGGCCGTCACTTGTTTCATTTCTGAATAAATTAGCGTTTTTGAACAAATCAGTTGAGTGAATGATTCAGTGACTCTATCATAAAGGCCGTCACTTCTTTAATTTCTGAATAAATTAGCATTTGAACAAATCAGTTGAGTGAATGATTCAGTGGCTCTATCATAAAAGCAGTCACTGCTTTCATTTCTGAATAAATTTGCGTTTTTGAACAAATCAGTTGAGTGAATGATTCAGTGACTCTATCATAAAGGCCGTAACTTCTTTCATTTCTGAATAGATTAGCGTTTTTGAACAAATTGGTTGAACAAATGATTCATGACTAACTCATAAATACAGTCACTTTTTTACAGTGCGGGAACGGATATGATTTGAGTGGAACCTTTCTAACTTGTATTTTAATTGCGTGATCTTTTCAGCTGACCTCTGAGATTCTGGTAAGGACTGGAACACTGTACAGAGACACTGATTCAGAAGAAGCAAATGAAGTCTTTCTAGAGTCTGGCTTGGAGAATGGACTTAATCCTGAGGAGAAGGAGCATGAATGTTCTAGTAAGAGCTTCCTTTAGTGGACTGGCTGCCTTGTCCGAGCATAATGTAAATTAAATATATTTGAAAAAATTTGATCATCTTTCCAACTTTCCACAGGTGGTCTCAGACACCAACAAAAGGGACCCGATGTGGAACTGCTTAGAGATGGTGACAGTCAAACCTTTTGCCCATCAGACTCCAGAGCCACTTCTGTCACGTCTAACATCAGGTATATTGTTGATAGTGTTTTAAGCTGGACATGTTCATGCATGCCCTGCTCCTGTCATTGGAAAGTACTGTCACAATAAAGTTTTCCAGAGAACTGTGTTACAAACAGAAAAATCTGACTGTGGAATGCAGTGCACTGACCAATCAGAAGCACATATTCCAGAGAGTTGTTTAAAAATGAATAAATCATTTAATAATTTCTATTTGCATATGAATATAGAAAAGTGTTACATTTTGTGTTAAATTTAAATTCCAATCTTAAACTAAGGAGCATGAATGTTCTAGTAAGAGCTTCCTTTAGTGGACTGGCTGCCTTGTCTGAGCATAATGAAAATTAAATATATTTGAAAAAATTTGATCATCTCGTCCAACTTTCCACAGGTGGTCTCAGACACCAACAAAAGGGACCCGATGTGGAACTGCTTAGAGATGGTGACAGTCAAACCTTTTGCCCATCAGACTCCAGAGCCACTTCTTTCACGTCTAACATCAGGTATATTGTTGATAGTGTTTTAAGCTGGACATGTTCATGCATGCCCTGCTCCTGTCATTGGAAAGTGCTGTCACAATAAAGTTTTCCAGAGAACTGTGTTACAAACAGAAAAATCTGACTGTGGAATGCAGTGCACTGACCAATCAGAAGCACATATTCCAGAGAGTTGTTTAAAAATGAATAAATCATTTAATAATTTCTATTTGCATATGAATATAGAAAAGTGTTACATTTTGTGTTAAATTTAAATTCCAATCTTAAACTTAATGTCCAATCTAAACACCATACTTGTGCTTACATTACCTCTTTCTTCAGTGTAAGGTCTTGGAGGAGTGGAGGGGGACCTCATCGAGTGTTTGTGCCCCACTCCCCCATGGATTTGAAGATTGGGCACAGGGTCCGTATCATGTTACCCTCTGGACGGATCAGCACCGGTACCTTACGCTACCTGGGCAACATACAAAACTCTCCCGAATACCATCTTGGCGTAGAACTGGAGTTGGCTGATAATGGACAGCATGATGGCACCTATGAAGGACAGCGCTACTTTTACTGGTATGATCATTTTTCTTGCTTTTAGCAATTCAGATGATGGGAAAATTTGTGTATACCTTCATGAAAAGACCAGATAAGAATCTTCTCAGCAATGTAGGTATTGGATCTTTAAATATTTCAAGGTTATTTATTGATTATTATTTAAATATTTAATATTTTTACCAAATTTAGCATATCGAACATTCCTGGTAATATATTTGTCTTTTAAGACAGTGGTTCTGGATCGCTGGACCCTCTATTCATTATCCAGATCCCTTACCGTCCTCATGAAATTGTCTTCCCATATTAAAGTGTTAGTTCACCCATAAATCGACCTTCGTTCATCATCGTAACACAAATTAAGATATATTTGATGCATTCTGACAGCTCTCTGACCCTCCCATAGACAGCAAGGATATTACCATGATCAACGCACAGAAACGTAGCAAGGACATTGGTAAAATAGTCCATGTGACATCAGGGGTTCAACCGTAATTTTACGAAGTTATGAGAACACTTTTTGTGCGCAAAGAAAACAATAATAACTTAATTTATTATTTATTAGAGTACCCCAGAACGTAATCAATGTAATGAGCGTTGTTAACGTTCAGCACATGCGCGCTGTCTACTGAACGTAAACAACGCTGATTATGTTCAGCGAAAGCGTGCACATGCTGAACGTAAACAACGCTCATTACGTTGATTACGTTCTGGGGTACTCTCCAAAATGGCAGAAGACAGTAACAGTATAATTCAGGGAGAATAATTGCTGAATTATGTTATTATTGCTTTCTTTGCGCACAAAAATTATTCTCGTAGCTCTCATATTTCATCAAAAATATCTTAATTTGTGTTCCGAAGATGAACGGAGGTCTTACGGGGTTGGAACGACCTGAGGGTGAGTAATTAATGAAATAATTTAAATTTTTGGGTGAACTACCCCTTTATCACTAAAAAAGCATGTCATTGAATGCCAAATAAAACATTTGATTTGACTGGACAGTTGGAATTTCATTATCATTATTAAAAATACAAAACAAATTAGGTAGCTCATCAGATGGAACAGTATATCAGCAAACACAAGCACTCTTATTATTATATTTCCAATGGAAAACATGAGCAAGGAAAAAAGCCAAAGGATTTATCTTAACTTTCTGGTTTGTTTAGCGATATCAGTTTTGATATGTGTCTGGATTTTGTGTCTTGGGCTACAGAAACTTAACACTAAAGTAAAGTGTTGTTACTTGGAAATGATAAACCATCTTGTCTAGTTGCATTGGTGTAAACTGGCAGGTTTCACACCTTGTCTACACCAGATAAGAATGGCGCAACCCATTCGCAACGCAAATAGGACCCATTAATGTCAGTTATACTGGCTGCGTCTGAAAGCATATGAAGCTGACTTGTTGCCTTGCTGCCCTATCAGGCAATGACTTTGCAGGCAGCATTTGTGCACCTTCCCAAACTGATTACAGACAGACTTCTGAGGCAGCATAAAAGTTTAGTGATCTACAACAAAATAGAGAAAGCTTTGGTGAAAACTAAGCAAATATTTAATTACCACAATGCTAATTTCTTGCTAGAAATGACATCAAAAGTGGAAAAACTGACCACCAAACACAACTTTCAGATGCCATCGTCACAGAAAATGCACAGCATAGTGAGATATCAAAGTCAGTGAAGGATACATCAATGCTGCCTTCAAGTTGATCAGATGAAGTATCACAGCTGACAAGGTGACACAATCATTGGATTTGGATGTGCCTTGTTGTCTTGCCAGTTGCCACCTTAGTATGTTGCCTGCAAAGGCAGTATTTTTCCGCTTTTGGATGTGGCCACTGTCTGGACTATTCACATCCATGTGATTGCTCTGCTTCCAACAACAATTTTGTAACATTTTCTTTGATGCAGTGTAGTGTAGACAGCAGGGGTTACAATGTTGCAGACCATATTCTTCTGTAAATACACTGAACAAAATTATAAACGCAACACTTTTGTTTTTGCCCCCATTTTTCATGAGCTGAACTCAAAGATCTAAGACTTTTTCTATGTACACAAAAGGCCTATTTCTCTCAGATATTGTTCACAAATCTGTCTAAATCTGTGTTAGTGAGCACTTCTCCTTTGCCGAGATAATCCATCCACCTCACAGGTGTGGCATATCAAGATGCTGATTAGACAGCATGATTATTGCACAGGTGTGCCCTAGGCTTGCCACAATAAAAGGCCACTCTAAAATGTGCAGTTTTATCACACGACACAATGCCACAGATGTCGCAAGTTTTGAGGGAGCGTGCAATTGGCATGCTGACTGTAGCAATGTCCACCAGAGCTGTTGCCCGTGAATAGAATGTTCATTTCTCTACCATAAGCCGTCTCCAAAGGCATTTCAGGCCAGCCTAAGGCACACCTGTGCAATAATCATGCTGTCTAATCAGCATCTTGATATGCCACACCTGTGAGGTGGATGGATTATCTCGGCAAAGGAGAAGTGCTCACTAACACAGATTTAGACAGATTTGTGAACAATATTTGAGAGAAATAGGGCTTTTGTGTACATAGAAAAAGTCTTAGATCTTTGAGTTCAGCTCATGAAAAATGGGGGCAAAAACAAAAGTGTTGCGTTTATAATTTTGTTCAGTGTACTTGCAAGTTTCTACTTGTCATGTCGGGAATCTTTGGTGTGAACTTAAAATAAAAAAACAACCCCAAAATCACCTCAACACCCTTATTTTTTTTAAATATTGCATTTTGAGTAATATTGTTTTAGAAATACATTTTCTTCAATACTCTTCTTTCATTCTAATATTTCTTTTTTTATTTCCTCTTTCTCTTCAGTGACCCTGGACATGGTGCGTTTGTAGCATTCAGTAAATTGTTAATGGCTTGGGAGTAGATGCTCTTACTGGAACACTTAAGTGAAGACTCTTCAGGCCACTCAAGGGCACTCTTGCAACAGTTCGCTGTATGGATCAGAGCGCAGCAATAATTAAGTATTTTTGTAGGCCAACCCATTCCCTAGACAAAAACACAACAGGCTTTTGGATTATTGCAGAAATTATGAAGTAAAAAGCTAAACATGGTCACATGTCACCAATATTACATACCAAACATTTTATATAAGATATTTTCCCTGAAAGTTTGAATTTTAATAGTATGCAATAGCTTGATTATAAACACAATGAGGCTGTGAAACTGGGTAATGAGTAGATGAGTTTACCTGTTCAGTTTGAAGACAATCAATGACCCAGACAACCTCTGCAGTCCCATTTAGTTACTTGTTAGCGACCGCCTTTATCAAGACAAGCAAAAGCATTAAAAACACTAAGGGTTTTACTGATGCATTTTATGCCATAGAATAAAACGTGACAATATCTTAGGCTTGTGTTCACCACTTCAGGCATTTAACCAAAAACCCATTAAAAAACCCCAAATTGACTTCAGGACGATGGAACCGGAGGTGCTAAAATGTTAACTTTTTCCAGGTTTGACCTACAAAAACACATCATGCCTGCAGGACTACTTGAGTATAGTGTAACTCTACTAGTAGAACAATAACTGGCAAAAAGGTGACCTTATATGTTACCATAAAGGTGAAAATGGTAATTACTGCGCCACCAGTGACACCAAATGTAATAGCAAAAATGATGAATGTTTTCAACCAAAAGCAATTAATCTCACCCCAAAATTGTGCCATTGGAAGGACATGGTAGCAATGTTTTGAAAGTGGCATCAATATGAATGTATTAGCTACTTGGTGTCACTGCTTATTAATAAGCTGTAATTTTTTACCAAGAAATCACACGTGATCATGTGATTCATATGAAAATTTATGATTTTTAGAAAATAAGTAGCATGAAGGTACACCCTAACCCTAACCTCAATGGGACATAAGCAGATCGTACAAAAAATTACAAATTAGCCACCAATTCTGCGTGTATGTAGATGTAAATATATAGTTACGCATTGCCATGAGACTGTGTTGGAATCTGCACGTTTTCATATTTATTTATGACTGTTGGGGAAATTCTGCATTTAAAATTTATACTAAAATATCAGCAGAGCTGAGATAGGCAGACTCATATCAGTAGGTTAAACAGATCAAATTACCCTAAATATTTCCATACAAGGAACAGGTATGTGTAAGAGAGTGATGATGGGTGATCAAATTCTGTGGAATTCTGTTGACACGCATTCCATGCATGTCTGCTTATTGCCAATATCCGTTAATGCAAATGAATGATACACTCTATTGAACATAGATAAAGAAGACATTTAAACAGCCATCTGAGGTAAAAACCAGTCAGGTCTGCTGCATTCTACTATTCAGGATTAGGTTCAAAATATTCACAAGAGGCCAGGTGTGTTCTCCAGATGCACTTATCAACAGATTTTCCCTGTTTATTGAAGGATGTGTTCTGATGTTTCAGGAAAGAGACTGGACCAATACATGACACTCTTATACCCCATTCATGGAAATTAAGATGATTTTTTTTTTAATCAAACATGTTTACCCACGGACTTCTCAAAGAGAAATGATAATGCTCATGTTACCAAATGTAACAATGTTACACGTCTTTTTTTGTGTGCCTTTTTTGGCTATTTTTGTCACTGAACTTCCTCTTACAAAGAAAGCAAATCACATTCATATGCATTAAGATAAGGAAATAAACAATGATCACATGAATTACAGGGAGCTGTTTTGCATTTTCATAACACTTTTTGGTGCTTGTGAACTTCCTTCTTCCTTGTAGATGTAAACAGATAAATATATTGTCAAAAAGGGAGGGAAGGACAGAGAGAGAAAGAGAGAGAGATGGAAATGTATACATAATTTGACATTGAATGATGACACACAATCTCCCCAGATTTATAGTCATACTCTACATTCTTTTGTAAATACTGGACATAAGTCATTATATGTAATATTGTTCATGTCACAACATTTTAAGTTGTTATATTTATATAAAAGAGCTTCATAATCTCTCACTGCAACAGGCTTTCAGCAGTAAAACCAAAAATAACATTAACAAATGTTTTTACCCACATGCAGTATATTCAGGTGGGTCATCCTTTCCATCAGGTAGACATAGATAAACAGTTCTTTGAAAAGCAGTAGTTATAATAATACAATTTAATAAAGTAACAAATTGAAAGGAAAAGTTTGTTTGGAATGTAAAGGTGTGCCTAAGTAATGGATTAAATGGATTGTAGTTTCAGATGCCAGTTAAAACACTGCCATCAGTCACAAATATAATCAAAACTATTTCACAGAAACATTTTATTTAATGACAACAGTAGTTTTCCCAGCTTGTTAACATGCAGTTAACATAACATACTCATGTATGTGGTATTACTGGTTAATCGCCATCTAAAATGGTTAAAAATATTGTTTTTTAAAAATAATTATGATGCATGCAGTATATAGCTCATATTAATTGAGAGACTATTGTATATTTTAAAACAGGATCAGTGTTGACAGATAAATATATTGTCAAAAAGGGAAGGAAGGACAGAGAGAGAAAGAGAGAGAGATGGAAATTTATACATAATTTGACATTGAATGATGACATACACAATCTCCCCAGATTTATAGTCATACTCTACATTCTTTTGTAAATACTGGACATAAGTCATTATATGTAATATTGTTCATGTCACAACATTTTAAGTTGTTATATTTATATAAAAGAGCTTCATAATCTCTCACTGCAACAGGCTTTCAGCAGTAAAACCAAAAATAACATTAACAAATGTTTTTACCCACATGCAGTATATTCAGGTGGGTCATCCTTTCCATCAGGTAGACATAGATAAACAGTTCTTTGAAAAGCAGTAGTTATAATAATACAATTTAATAAAGTAACAAATTGCACAGAACTTTTTATTGCTGAAGAGTGTTTCTTCTCCTGCGTTCTACTGTACAGACGTGAATTTACTTTTTCTTCAGCCTGAGGTTTATTCATTACATTTTAATAAATAGAACTTCTTATATTAAAAACAACCAAGCCCTGCTCATATTTAAAAAGTAACGCGAAAGTAACGCAAAATGAATGTAACACATTACTTTTCATAAAAAGTAACTTAGTAATGTAATTAGTTACTTTTTTAGGGAGTAACGCAATATTGTAATGCATTACTTTTAAAAGTAACTTTCCCCAACACTGAACAGGATTGCAAAACATTGGATGCAGGATTGTTTAAACCATACAAGTTATAATGAAATAAAAAAAGTGAACACATAAGAAATATGTGTATCCCCCTTTATTATATTATATGTTTATAAAAAATTTATGAAGGTTGTGTTTGTCAGTTACTAATTATGGTGCCACTGGTTGCATGGGAAATGTCTCTGTATGTATACTAACACACTATTTATTCTTTTTTTTTCACAGCTTCAAAAATATTTTAGAGATTTTTTTTATTACTTACTGTGGTTCTGTTATTATTGTCATTTTCAATTGTATTAATTATTTTACCTTTAATTATAGCACTTTAATTAGTGAGGGTATTGCCACTAATTAAAGCCACATCCACATTTATCTTTTTATTTATTTATTCTATTTTATTACATTTTTTTATTACTGTTTAAGGGACAAAGAGCAAGAAGTTCATTTGTTTTTGTTTGTTTTTTTTCCATTGCATTTGCCATAACAGCATTGAGAACTTATTTCCTGTTCACATTAATGATTAATGCACTGGCAGTATGTAAACATGTTGCAAGTTGCTACTTGGACACCAAGAACTACACACACCAAGCTATGTTAAAGCAATTAATTTGGTAACACTTTACTTAAAGCCTTTATATATAATGCATTAAAAGTAGTTTTAATTATGTCTTGCAGTACACTTTAAAATTAATTGTATGAACAAATGAATAATGGTTTCCACAGTTATAATACATTACATTACTTAAAAACTCATTGTTACATCTTTGGAAAGTATAATGCATTAAAACACATAAAAAACAAACATTACAATGCATTTTAAATTTGGTTACAATTATTTTTCTGAAAAACAATACATTACAATTTACATTATTAATACCATTAATGTATTATACATAAAGGCTTTAAGTGTTATTGCTGATTTTATGAAAGTTTTAGAACTGAAAAATAAGAACAACAACAAAAGCTTAAAATATAATGTCTATGGAACATCTTTGCAAACAGATGCTATAATTAAAAATCTGCTAAGACTGTCTCCTTTAAAGAGAAAACATGAAACTGTACAAACCCATACTCACTGACAGTGTCTTTGAATTTGTTCACATTAATATACATATTAGAAGACATACAATTGGGTTGTGATAACACAAATACGTATATGCTCATTTGAAAACAGTGGATAAAACATCATAATCATAATATATTATAATAATAACTTTCATCATTATGTTGAATTGACACATCTAAAGCCTCAATATTTTTGTGATATTCATTGTATAATATACACCATTATGTCAAATCTTTGACATACTTTGACACACACAAATGCAAATCATAACTACTTAGTGTGAAGAATTTGCTCTTCTCTGGTTTGAGAGCAGATGTTTGAACAATGAGATGACCCAAGTCAATTTTGCATAAAAGGAAAGATGTGAGATGTCCTTTGTACATTCAAATCATCAAAATCAACAAGCTCAGAGTTACACAGCAGAACCAACCTGATATGAAACATGTAACACTGAAGCACAATTAATTATGATGTCCAGTACTGTGGTAAGTTTCTAAAACTGCAATGCGTCACAGAGTCAAATCACAGTGCTTGACACAAGTAAACATATCAGGGGATTCCCACCCACAATAATTGAAACAAAGAAATACAACGAAAAGACTGCAGAAGACAAGGAATCACACCTACTACTATTTTAAGTCATTCTGTGGTGGAGCTGATTTGAATGAACAATTAGCAGCAGACGTACTAACTAGAAAATTACTCTGAACATTGAAAACAGGGAGGTTCCTTAATGACTGCAATTACATACAGCTATATTTAGAATGCTCAAAATTACATTTCAAACCAAATCTGTAGTCTTCGAGCCAAGGTACTGTACAGTTTGCTACACGTTAGGAGCAACAATTGATGCAATGTGCATCAACCTCTTAAAAAATATCTAGACACACAATTGACTTTGTAGTCATACATAGTTACCACATATACTATGTGATAAGTCATTCAGGTTTCTGAGACTTCAGAGCACAAAAGACAGAAAAGAGCTACCACAGCTACAGGGAAAAAAAAAATACAATTGCATACCTTTAGAGGTACAACAGCTTGTCAATGGGGCATCACCCTTGAAAGGACATATCGGTACCTAATCTACCCCTCGAAAGTGCATATTAGTAATAGGTACCTTTAAAGTAGTAGTAAATAATAGTAGTAGTAATAGGTACCTTTAAAGTACTACTATGAAATTTTAAAGGTAAAAAGTTCAGGGAGCGCCTGAGTGACAAGTTGTTGTACCCCTAAATCGACAAGTTTGTACCTTATCTAGTAGTAACCTTGATTAGCTTGTTCAGGTGTGCTTGATTAGGGTTGGAGCTAAACTTAGCAGAACTGTGGCTCTCCAAGCCTGGTCTACTTCCTTCTGTTCATGCACCTTGTATGTTGACAGAGTGAATCCAGCAAGGTTTATTTCCAACTTGCTTCGAAACACTTGTCTGAGATTTTCATGTAATCCTGAAGACCTCGATTCAGGTATGTTTGGTTAGGGTTGGAGCTAAACTCTGTAGGACAGTGGGTCTCCATGAGCAGGACTGAAGACCTCAGAGTTACACAGAGTTAGGTCAAATACAAGGGCTATCAATTGACTGAATTACATCAAATGCAGATTTATTAAAGGGCTTCTATAATGCTTTTTGATTTCACCTTTAATGTGTAATAGCTTTTTGTGCACGTAAACCAGAAGTGTCCAAACCTGTCCCAGGAGGGCCACTGTCCTGCAGAGTTTAGCTCCAACCCTAATTAATCACACCTGAACCAGCTAATCAAGGTCTTCAGACTCACTAGAAACTTCCAGGCAAGTGTGTTGGAGCCAGTAGGCGCGTTTCCATTACCCTTCAAATTGTGCAAATTGAAATTGCGAATTTAAAATACGCCTAATGGAAACGCGTCAATTTTGCAAAAACGGCCATATATCGCAAAAAGTTTTTATGCTGGCTTGAGGTGGTTTTTCAGGCAATGCGAAAAAGGATTAATTCGCAAAACTGCAATGGAAACGGCTTTTTCGCATTTACAGGTCACATGGCATATGTAAAAAGTCATATGATCATTCTTCAATGTACTATAACCTCCAAGAAACACTTCATAAGTGGCCGCGCTCCAGTATAAGGGGCTTTCCCTACTATTAATGCTTAGACAATTTACACTGCACACGTCTGCGGTGCAGTGTGGCTCTGATACGGTCACTGAAGCTGATTACGGCCACTCAATGCTTGTGTTTATGTTTTTATACAGTCTGTGGTTTATTCCAGCTGCGCCACGCAAGTTTCTGAAGCGGCACTCTTTGCTGCTTCTGTAAAGATACACGCATAAGCCTCCTTTGAATAAATATAGCCAAAATCCGTCAAAATCCCACCAAAATCTGTTGCCATGACTTATCGCGAGAGGCAAAAGGTTACGTTTAAGTCTCATGACATTGGTTAATGGAAACGCCGTCATTTCGCAATACTTTTTTATCGACATTCAGAAAATATCGCCAAAGTTTTGCGCAAATCTGTAATGGAAACACACCTAATGTTGCCAATTTATCTACTTTGTAGCTAGATTTAGCGACTTCCCCGCCCCTTTTGAGACTTTTTTCAAAAGTTTAGGGACAAATATAGCAACAAACCTTATCTAAGTTCTCATCTTGCCCAAAGATCTACGTTCATCTTTATATAGATCAGTGAATTTGCCATTGTGATGTCATCTAGTGACATTTAGCTACCAGTTTTAGCTACTTTAAATTGAAAGCAGTTGGCAACACTGGTTGGAGCTGGTCGCAGATAAACTCTGCAGGACGATGGCCTTCAAGGGGCAGGATTGGACACCCCTGATGTAAAGTTGATGCTAATGGGATTTAATCTCTTCAGTCAAAAACACTTGCCTAAAATATCTTGTTTGTAGTTATGCTATTATATCCGTGACTTAGCTACGTCATCACATTTCACATTTGCATAATGCCCGCTTAATCAAGGAACAGTTGGATAGGTGACTTTACTATGTCAAATATACACTGTTTGGACATTGTATGGAATTTCAATACCAACACTGCAGTTACCATAGAAATCGTTCTGTTTACAGCTGCCAATGAAGACTCTGGAAGTGAAACCCAATTATGGTAAGGGGCGTTACATTTTTGTTAAACTCTTTAAGTGGCTGACTAATCACAACAGACTGGGCCAGCTGTCAGAAAGGCGGCCTTCAAAAGACAGGGGCTAAAACGTTTCAGGCAGAGGTTGAAAAGAGTTGCTGCATCAATGTGCAGTATTAGTAAAATAATGAGCTTTTTGAACTTTAAATTATGTAACCATATTCTAGCAGACCCCAAAAAATAAAATTATGAAATTGTAAATTAGCATAATATGGGAACATTAATCAATTTAATTACCATCAAATCACATATATCAGTATTTGCTAAGAAAATTCAAAGACATTCAATTAATGTGGCAGTTGAAAGCAGACTTGGCTTGAGGAGTAATAATACCATTTTGTTTTGTTTTCTTATAATTGACCATGAGCTTATCACTGGCCTACAGTGCTTTATATCTGGCTGGGATGAGTCATTGGACATGATGATGTCCATTTTTCATTGGCGAGCAGAGAGGGAGAGGGAAGAAAAGGAGGGTGAAAACATCTGGAACCAATACAGACAGAGAGTGTTTTCTAACAATTGGGCTATATTTTTATTAATTGCACTGAACTAACACATTAAATTGACCGTCCTAGAAATGTATTTCAATTAGTAGTTTGAGGTTTATATGGCATACATGTTTCTGAGTAATAGAAACTGATGAGTACTTACCATATGGACAGAGTTGTCGTTTGTGGTCAAGCAACATCGCTTTTTTACGAAGAAAATTATCTAAATTGGGTCCATGACGGCCGAGAGGGTCATCAGGTGGCATGAACCTGTCCAAGAGGGTCGTGTTGATGGTTAGTTAAATGAATAGGAATAGGAACAGGCATTAAAAAAACCATTAGCAGCTCCTAAAGAATAGTTGTAAAAACGTACTTGTCATTAACAAACGAGTACATAAGCAATCTCTCCTCAATACAACGCTTCCACTCCGGACGTTCACTTTGCAGGTCCCGATATGTGTCGTTGGATACTATAATGCCATCCAGATCATGAGCTAATTTGACAATAAAGCGATCATCATAGCAAACTACACGCTTTCCTCCGACCCTTCGTGAAGGTGTAAACACAAGAATCTTCTTCCTTTCCAGCTCTTCCAAAATATTCTGATCTGGAAACAAAGACAAACACTTTTCATATTTTTTATTATATTTGTTGACATTTTTAGCATGAGTTTGGAATGAAGACATGGGACATTATTTACCAGTCGCTGATAAAATAACTGGACCATAACTAATAATTGAAGCAATTTGACAATTATTATAGAACAACTCCTTTAAGCTTAACTAATGTTAATGTTAAAGCAATTACCTGTGCTTGACCAGTTTTCTACATTATAGATACAAAACAAATGGTTATTCCCCCAAATTAGCATTTAATATCCACCAAATGCTACTTTGGGGAGGTGGTAAACTAAAAGATTCCAAAGAACACGAGCCGTCATCTGTGAAACAGTAAAGAGGCAATAATTCATCACACCGCACCAGACTCTATTAAAGATTCACAGTGAAACTGTAGGTGATAAGGAAACTTTGAACTTCCTGGTGGGGAATTCCCAGTGAGACCTGCAGGAAACCTAACTCTTCCTTATTCTTCTCATTTTGTTATTACTGTTCTTGCTCGAATTGATTTAAGGAATCTGAGCAGGGGTGTTCACAACAAAAGAGAGACAGTCCAGGGACATAAACAACTGAGATTACTATCCCCACATCAACACCTCTAGGCTGTTAAAATTGAACCTGAATGTTTCTAAAGTCCTGAAACAAAGGTCATTTTGTACTAGTACCAGATGTACAGAGGGACTGTTTTGCAACCACAAATAAATGAAACTGTTAAATTTTGTAATTAAACCGTTTCAATTTTAAAGACCTTGTCAATTATTGCAATGTGAAACACACAATATTCTGTGTAATGCACGAATCTAAATGTTTAGCTTTTCATTATTATATTGATGTCAGTAAGATTTTTCAATGGTTTTGAAAGAAGTCTTATATGTTCACCAAGACTGCATTTATTTGACCACAAATACAGTAAGTGTGTAATATTTTAAAATATATTTTTAATAAATGTCTTTTGATAAATTGAATGCGTCCATGCTGAATAAAAGCATTTATTTCTTAAAATAAAATCTTACTGACCCCAAACTTTTGAACGGTAGTGTACGTTTACTGAAAAACCTGCCAAAAAAACTGCTGAAGTAAATGATTTCTTTGCAGTGTGAAGTATAGGCTTATCTGGGTCTGTGCAGTCAGATGGGCGTTTTCGCTTTTCAGACAAACCTGTCTGTGATGACTCATTTTTACCAAAAGTGCCGAGGGAGTGTCTCTACCTGAAATGGGTACATCAGGCCTGGGCTGCTCTTTTCTCCAGGAAGGCACGAACACAGTGATATTTCTGTGTCCTCGGTCAAGGAAGTAATTAACTGCCAGCTCAATCCCACGGCAAGAAAACACTTCCTTGTTCCCATGACTGAAAGAAAACAAGAGAGATCGTAAAAAAAAAGAGAGAAATTAGTTTGGCAAATGAGTAAATCAGTGAATGTGCATGCCAAAAACCACTGGTCTGTATACATGTTAGAGGGCTTTGGTGGTTATGCCGCTTTTTCAGCATTTTACGCCATGAATGTAATGTTCCTTAATGGCATGCCACATATCAAATGATTAATTCTTACATTTTTAAAAGTCTCCTTATAAGTGCTGTGTGAACGGCTCTTTAATTATTCTGTGTGGTTTGGTGCACATACATTTCTTGAAAGTTCATGAAGTTTTGCTAAACTGTGGTTAATCCATTTAATGCATCAACACTATCAGATTTTATAAATGTGAAAAGTATATTGAATTCCAAGGGTTGATTCAGTAAACCCAAAACTAAACTGTTTGATCCATCGCAATTTTTATTTTCAGATGTGGACGTTGGAATTGCTTATAGCAATAATGCAATTAGAAGGCATGCTAAAACACAACCTGATTTGCATAACCTCATTACGGAGTACTGTACAACAATACAACAACTGGAATGCAAATTGTAGTTGTTGACAGATGCATGTCAGACATGTTTATAGTATTACTGATAAAAAAACCCCCAAAGAGATAAGACAGACAGAAATGATGACAGAATTGTTTGCTTTGACTGGGAAGCTACATCCAACAAAACACACGAAAGAACAACAGCCATTTCCATTACGTCATGATGTTACCGCAAATATAAATTCAGCATTTGGCTTTCACACACAATGTATACCATCTCCATCTCCAATACCATCTCTCTTAGACTACTTATAAACCCTTCATTTCAAGGAAGAATGTCTTTCTGACCTTTGCAGAATGCATGACCAAAAATGTTGAGCATGAGGCTTAGGATCTCTTGGAAACGAAATGGTTAAAACAGTGCATATTATTTGCATATTGGAGAACAGAGAAGCATGGACAAAGGGGAAGTACAAACCTTTTCAAAAGAATCAGGTCTAGGTTTAAGCCCAAAGGCAATATGAGCAATCCACTGTGGGAATTGATAAGCAATATTGCATTGAATGCACTAGTTACTACTTTAAAATGAATTATTGATCAATTAATGTTTCTTCCAAATAAAGAGCTATCAACAAGTCTGTATTTGTGCCATTATTTGGATGTGATATTCACATTTTTAAAAACAAACTGTTGCAACAATTTGAGGTGGACCAACATTAAAAAAAAAATATGTGGAATGAAAGTGAAAGCCTTGTATAATTTGGGAAAATTTTATTCACAACCAGAGCACAGCTGTCATGAATTTCCCTTTGTAAAGGCAACTTGTTGATACTTGTTAAACTGGCAAAGACTCAAAACTCCAGCATAGTTTTCAATCTCCATTCTCTTTCCATTGAAAAACCACATAAGAAAAACCAAGCCAGTAGTACCATGTCCTCACCTCATGGCCACGTTGCTGCCATCAATAACAATAGGCTTCAGGTCACTTTCTGGTTCAGTGGTGTCCTCCAGTGTTGAACCCTGTGCCCTAGATGAGCTTCCTCCCCGATGGGGCAAACTGAACCCACTATCATCGCTGTCAGAGCTAGAGGAGGGCACAGCCTTGGCTCCTGAACGCACCAGCTCCCCCAGCACTGCATTGGTGTCCGTCCCCAGGCCGAGCTTCCTCAGGGCAGCCTTCACCTCTTGCGGAGAGTAACCCAGCTTACGAAAGAAGTCGACCTTCATCTGCAGGTCATGGAGGTCAGGTCCGTCTTGGCCCAGGCCAGCGGGTTGATGGTAACACCTCGACTGCATCCCGCCGTATGTTGGATGTTTGATGTTCTGGGGTTTTTCAGTGCAAGAGCTGCTGTGTCGTCCATATGCTGCTCTGACATGTTGCTCTTGCTTCCGAATAAGGCTGACACATAAACAAATAAATGGTGAATAAGCCACAAGCCATAACAATGCAAGTTATAAACTGCAATTAAACATGTTATATTTACATAAAAAAATATAATACATAAAATGTAAACAGTAGAACAAGGTAATATTTTATGCATTACATGATTTGATCTTCATAAATTCAATCATTCATTCATGAACAACACAATTACAGTGACCGTATCATTTATGTATAAGTGCAATTCAATTCTCCATCAACCTCCACCCAAAAATAATAAACAATTTCATGCATGGATATTGCAAAAATAAATAATAAAAATGTAAAGAAATAAATAAAATAAAAATGCATTTAGTCTTGTAATTTAGAATACATATTAGAATACAGTAAATATAAAGTACATTTTAAAAAAGGTTATCTGTCCTTCAGAGGTTACATATGTTTTTCGTGTTGTTTCCGAGTTGACTTTAATATTTATTTGCAATAGTGTCCGAATTTTGATATGTATTTATCTGAAGAGGACAGTTTCTAGGCCCGTGAAAATGGTCCAGTGCATGCAAAATACATAGAGATCAACCCAGTAGTGACTTGCTATTTTACTAAAAAAAAGTTGGAAATGGCTTTAAATCTGTTTCCAGACTGTCCAAGGGGCTCAAGCATCATGATTAAATAATGGTAACATGTACTCCAATCAGTGTTCGAACTATACCGTGGACTTTGGGGGAGCCCATCACACCTCACATCACACCTTGATGCTCATGACAAGAACAGCATGTATAGTTATCTTTATTGAAGTGAATTAGGTTTAAATCGCTGTCATGCATGAATGAATGATATTTTTGCAATTTTACACATAATAATCCACGATGATCACATTACACAAAACTGAAATTGCACGTCAAAATAACACATTGTCAATATTTTTTGAGACCCCCCCAAAATTTTACAAATCCCGTTTTCAGGGGAGCCCATGTCTTATTAAGGGGAGCCGAGCTCCCCCTAGCTCCCCCGTAGTTGGCACCCTGACTCCAATGCTTTTGATAAACAAAATCAGTTTATAGAGGTTTATATCAGACCAGTTTTCCTCGTCATTGATGTTCTACTCATTTGCATTTGCTTTTACTAATTGCTGCAATATTTACATTGAACTTTTTACTCACAAAGTAGTGAGCATCTGCTTATTTAAATTGTACATTCCAGGTGTCATTAAATGACATGGTTAATAAATGACATCTACACTTCCCTTACTTTTACAACACTTTCCACGAAAAGTTCCTGATTCGTTGATTACATAAGATAGCACTAAACTCCTACAGACACAGGGCTATAATACAAACTACACGACTAAACTCTAATATACTGTACTGCCAATGACACGACGATACAACTGACACCGTTCTTCTTCTCAGAGCGTTTCTAGATCGTGGGGGCCTTCACCTCAGCTGAGCTTCAGCCCTGCGGACCCCGGGTAAAGTACTAGAGAACCTTATAAACCATTTGTAGTTTTGAAGTAAGCATAATAAAGCGTTACTTTAATGTAAAATACTGACAGTGTAAATGCCTGTCTCAGCTGTTACACAATAAACGTTTCTTATGCAAATGTTAGCAAAATAAAACAGAATAACTTAGACCTACCATATTCTCCCAGTGAGGAGTCTGGTGATCTGTAACGCACGCGTGTGTGTGCTAGAAAGTACTGATCTTGTGTTGTATGACGTGCTTTAATGTAACACCTTTCCCCTTCTACTTCCTGCTCCAGGTAACTCGACCTGTTTCAGCCTCGGAAGAGAGAGAGAGAGAGAGAGAGAGAGAGAGAGACAAACAACCACATTTACATGAAAATTATTTTTATATTCATATTTTTACATTTCATTTTCAGTTCCTGTATTTCTGTTTTCAGCACCTTATTCACTTCCTATTGTATATTTTGTATTATATTGTTTTGTGTTTTTGGCACTGATTATTCATAGGTATATATATATTTTTTTTTTATTTTATTAATTTTATTTTGCCGTTATTTTCAATACGTTTAAAAAATTAGATTCTCAATACTTTAATATCGTATTATATCGTATAATAAGATAATATCTAATATTTTGGGTGGGAATTTACCTGGAAATGACAGAAAACACTTTCAAGGAACTGCTTGGAAACTGCATATTCACATCAAAGACAAAAAGCAAAAATTATATGATAATCAATACTGATAACCAACTGACAATTAACAATGAAGTAATAAAAGTAACTACCTTGAAATAAGCACAACAAAGTATTTTCCAACTTCTCTGGTGTTGCAATTTCATTCATAAATGGGTGGTGAATTTACATTTATGGTTGCGAAACATGTCTAAAAGAAATGTGGGAGGTGTTTTTATGAACATACAGTATGCCATATTTTATGATCATGACATAATGCTCTTTATGAAAGCAATCGTGGGTAATATAACACTTGAAGAAAGAGTGATAAGTATTAAAATACAGGTAAGACGTGATTATGTAAGGTTTCTCTCCTCTCTCACGTGTTTTCCCTCAGTTGTCTTCTGCATGAATACCTGAAAAGGACAGTATATATAGTAATATATATATATATATATATATATATATATATATATATATATAGT